AATACACTACATGATGTCGAAAGTATTTAGTTTTTGAAATATTCTCATACTAATAAAAATTTTAAAAGTAGGCAGGAAGGATGCAAGAGAGGAAATGTGTGTTATTATATTATCGACAGCACATAAAGGAGAGATACTGTAACGAATAAAACACCGAATATGTGTAATTCTTGAATAAGAAATCATTTTGATTTAAATCAATGTTGAAGTCTTCTTTTCAAAGGTCGAAAAGAGGGAGGAGGTCTTTCTCCTAATTGAACTAAACTGTACAATCTAAATTAATTTATAACGATTACGTAATATAATTATCGTTTTCATTGGGTTAATTTTGAATGATGATTTTAAAAGTATTTGTTCTGAAAATAAAACATACCTGTGAACTGTGTCAGTTGGTAAAATTACATGAAGGACTGATAAAGACATTACATTATCAGTAGTTAAGTACACAAGTTTTTATAAACTGGTCGTGTTAAGTGTACCTGCGAGAATTATTTCCATGACAACATGATCTTTTAATTAATTTTGAATGAAAAAGAGGCGAAAAAAGCATACACTACTGAACGAAAAAATATTGTGTTATATGTTTCTTGTGATAACCAATGGTGAATCAGTAAATTCTGTAAAATATTATAAAATCAAAGATGGAAATAATACAGAATAAATAGAGAAAAAATCTTCCAAACCAACAAATAAAAAAAAAATATGGAAAATTGTCTTTGATTATATCTTAAACCATTGTCGTGACGTCAGCCTATTCATTTACCGTGGATTCATTTTCTAGAATCAACGCTTTCTAAATCTGTCGCTGAAATGGATTAACCAAATTATATTCAATTGTTTCCTTTGTGTGCCTAATTTCATTAGGTTTGAATAGCTAATTTACTGATTTCTATTCACTAATGGAATTAATTAAAAAACTGACCTTTAATTTTTGTAATTTTTACATGCCTTCACTGGGGATCGAACCCGTTCTTGAAATCTGTTATGTGTGACTGACATCAACATATCGACGAAACCTCTCGGCTACCAATTGGTTACAATTTAAATGTCTATTTTATATATATAAATGAACCTATGATATACATCGGTACAACGGACACACAGGGCTTGTACCTTTATATATACATATTAGGCAATCGTATAGTATAAGTTGGAAGCCGCGAGATTAGCATGGTTAAGATCAAAAAGTAAAAGAGTCAAGTTAAAGGTAGTGAATTGTCGGTTTAGGTTCGAATCCCTGTATTCTCTTTGTTGTCCCTATTCTTTAGTTTTCCTGATTTTTTTCTTATTTTGTATGTTATTGTGGATATTTTTGTAATAATAGTGAGTTTTACCGTTTAATTTTGGATTATCATTGGCTATTTCACATATTTGAAACGAAAATGATTACATTCAATTTGTCCATTTTTGTTTTATAGATATATAGTAAGATTTCATCTGTTTTACTTCATAATTTTACAAATGTTTATTCGCAAATTCCTATGCGAGTAAATCGTGATGTGCCTAGAATTAGGCTTCTTGCTAGAAATTTCGGTAACATACTTATTATGTAGACTTTATATATGCTCTTTGGTCAGGTTGTTGTCTCTTTGACACATTCCCCATTTCCATTCTCAATTTTATTAGAAATAAGTTCGAATATATCTTAATTGGTAAACACAGATAATATTCAGATGCCTGATAATTTAGAGACAGACGTGTAATGTTATATTTGTATTTTTCTAACCAATTAGTTGTGATCTTATATTTAGTAATGCATCGTTGAACATAATACCATGGTTAAACTCATTAACAATACCTTCTAATTAAGAAAAGGCTTTAATTTTGAAAAGATATCAACACAATAGTTTAAGTTATAGATACAATGGATAAGCGTTGATTCATGAAAAACAAACCATTCGCCCTCCGGGCTCATGGTTTCTTTTTTCAAGAATCAACGCTTTTTTAGTGTATATATTACATAACACAAAAAACTGTAATAAAATTGTCTTTGATTATATCATAACACAGAAAACTGCATAAAAAATCCCGACGAACTCTTTTCAGAGTAAACCAAAGTGCTTCGGAAGAAAACAGAATTGTTACTTAATATGTTGTACTTCTTGGAATTATACATTCTGAATATATATCTAAATTTCACACACATAACTCTAATAAGCCTGTAATGTCACAGTACCCAAATACTGTTCTATAATTGCAACAATTTGTATTTTAATGATTCGACATTATACACGTCTTTCAACATAGGTAAATATTATTAGTTACATGGTGTGTTAGTGATCTAATACGATATATATGGGGTATATATCGTATTAGGTCACTAGCACACCGTGTAACGAATTTATCTTACCGACTATCATCACATGTGGTATTTTGACTAGCGGCCTATCAAAGTGATCAAGTCTTCAATACTTAGTATTAAAATCCTACTTCCATTTGTCTATATAGAAAACAAATACCAACAATAACAACTTTTTAGCTTTAAATTTGTTTTATGAATTTATTTCAATCGTTCATTACATGTATCAATTTCTTCGTCTGTTGAATCCTTTCTTCTTTTTTTTTTTGAAAGGAAAGTAACTCCGTTAGGCCAACAATATCAACTTGTTAGCTTAAATTATATTTTATGAACTTATTTCAACCTTTCATCATCAATTTCTTCGTCTGTTGAATCCTTTCAGATTTTTCCTCAACACCGTGTTGTTTTTATAAAGGGTTGTGACTTCTTTTTTGTTTTGAAAGGGAATTAACTCCTTACTAACCCCATATGGTAACTAACCATGTATGGTAACTAACCCTATATTTTTTAGGACACCCTATATCAAATATACATAGTCACCACGTGTAGTCCTTTATCCAATCATATCTCTATAAATCTATAGGGGGTAAGATAAATGTAAATATACACAAAACGCTCACAGTATGTATCAACAGAAGAAACATTAACTGGAAAAGTAAAATCTACGGAAACGTCGCCGTGCAAAGTTCACAAAAAGTCTTCTTTTAAAAATGAGCAAATAAAATATTTTCCAAGCTTCAATTTCGTGAATGAATAGTAAGCATGGACTAATGTCAAATTGTTCTTAATATTTGAAGAAATAATACAAAACATCTGTTATTCGATTTTTAAGAATGTGAATTTAAGCATGGATGTATTTAGGGTACTCCTCGTCACAGACTCATTGATCTTTTAGGTCGGCTCAAACCTTTTTTCTATGATTCAATATGGATTCAAAATTAAATAAGTATAGCTATAAAGTAAATAAGGATAGGTTTACAAAATAAACACCAAACGGAAACTTTTGTATGAACCATAAAAAAATGGAGGTGAACAAAACTGTCAAATAGGTGCAATTTGGGTTCCCTCACGTTATGTGGCTTGTTATATGACACGTTGTCTGTCCCTATACATCATACCCTCTTTTTATATTGACAGTCTATTCTTTTCACATTATGCTCGATCGGTTCAATCCACCATTTTCTACATTTGAAAATGCCTGTACCAAGTCAGGAATATGACAGTTGCTGTCCATTCGTTTGATGTGTTTTATCATTTGATTTTGTCATTTGATTAGGGACTTTCCGTTTTGAACTTTCCTCGGAGTTCAGTATTTTTGTGATATTACTTTTTTAACCTCCTTGCTGGTTCTACCTATTGTATAGATTGTTAATTCGCTACTGTCGATAATGTGCTACTTTCGTTTATAATACAAATATTTTGTTCTAAAACTAACATTGGTGTTTCTAAAGGAAAGCATATGATGGTTTTGATAGTTTTCGATTGTCGTTATTTCAGTTACACTTATTTCGCTCTGTGCCAAAAATCCATTAAAAATCCATCATATTCAACCTGTTCTCCTTACTGCAAAAAATTTAAGCAAATAAAACATGATCATTTTTTTTTACGTATATGTCTGTTCTAATTCGTCACTATGATCTAGTAAAACAAGTTAAAAAAACTTAAATTTTTAAGCAATTCATTTAATTTCTATGTTCACAAAAAATATCATTACAATAGTTAAAGGCATTACAAGACCTCTTACATGTAAATAAAATGCGACAAAAGTAGATTTCAAAGTCTTTATTAAGGTCACAACTTCTGTTAACATTACCAAGCCCGAACGAAACTCGAATCTGATCTGTCATTTTTTATCACGTGTCTATTTTATTTTTAGAAATTTACCTGTGATAATATAAATACAAAAAAATCACTTGTTGTGACGTTGGTCCATTTATGTGACGCGCAGTGTATACTTTGTTTGTGGTGTCCTAGTGTGCTGTCGTAAATTCGTGGGAAGTGTCCGTTGTCATTCTGCGGTTTACATGTTGTGATGTACTATAATATTATTTATTTATGTATTTATCTGTGCTGAGTCTTCTTGCGTTTGTTTGTACTGTATTCCTGTCACGTAGTGTTATCATTGTAGTGGTATAACATTGCCATATAAGCGGGAGTTTGGGCTAGCCATAAAACCAGGGTTAACACACCATTTTGTCTTCAAATGTCCTGTAAAAAGTCAGGAATATGGCAGTTGTTATCTACGGTCCGTTTCTATGTATGTTGGCGCTTGCTTTTATTGCAGTGAAGTGTTTATGTTGTTCCGTTGTTTTCCTCATATAGCTGATGTGTTTCTCGCTGTTTAAGATTTGTTTTTGCTTAATCAAATTATGATTATTGAAACAGTGGTATACCACTGTTGCCTTCATTTTTCATATACCTGTATGTATAACTGTATACCAATATCAAAAAAATGGATAGACGCTTTACAGAAAAAAAGTATAGTAAGCTAAGATTTTAGGGCAAAAATGTGCTCAACATGAACATAATATCACTTGATTTGGAATTTGTATAATATTATGGATATGAATATGAGCCAAATATTATACCGATATATATAAACATTAACAACATGTACGGAAAGTTAACTGACTATTAGCCCCTTCATGGTTTCTTGGAGAATTCTTCAAGGATCATGACCGGCATTTAAGAGAGCCATACATTTCTGAGTAATAATAGGGTAATTTTATTAACTTCCTGGTTAAAATCGAAAACAAAATTTGGACCATTGTCTCGTACAATTGTCCACCCTTTACATTTCAGAATCACTTAAAATTTCACAGATCGATTTGAAAATTTAATGAATACCCTTTGGTAATAAAAAATTACCTACAAAACTTGAAATGAAATAAATTGTCTCATCAAACAAACTTTTAACCAACAACTTAATGTTGTTAACATTTTATGAAGTGTTTAGCTATGTTTTGACATGTACAAAAACTTGTGTTCAAATTCATTTATAATGTTACTTTTTTGCCTTGAAAACTGAAATTGTTTTTCCGCGATTATTTGCGATGTAGACTTTAGATAGTTCCTTGTTGTAACAGAATGAAAGAGGTTCTGACAAATTATCAATAGATAAAATGTCTACTAAGATTCCAGAAGATGTGAAAATGTCAATGGTTCGTGGATCGCGTCCAAGGACATATATGTTATCGGCATCATCTATTTGAATATCTCGGGATTGAAGAAGATCAGGAGAGGTATAAGAGAAAACAGGATCTCCCTCTGCCGTTATGCAGCAGACTTCATTGGTGATTGAATAACAAATGTTTCCATTTGAGCAAACAGCAATGTAGTCAATGTAATGCTCTATATTTTTCATACTTATTGTTCTTTTGAAATTTCCACGTAAATCTAGGACATGTATATTTCCTTTAGATCCGACATAGATGTTATGTTTTGTTGCATCAACACCACAACCCTGGCTTTGGTTCACTTTTACCTGCTTTGATATTTTGCGCATATCTATATCGATGAACTGTATGCACGCTTCCAATCTACAAGACAGAACAGCAGTGGTTGTTCCTGGTATTGCTGCTATATCCCATGGTTGGTGTGGAGAGCTGATAGATGATAGATAGGTATTGTTTTCATTGAAAAAATAAATCTTTCTCGTAGTTACATCGCAGATAATCAATTTGTTATTGTCCGTTATCGTCATGCCAGATACTGTCTTCAACCTTTCTCCTTTCATGTCGATGTCATTTAGGTAGGTTAAGGATCTAAGCTTCCCACTCGAAACAACTGGCACCTGTGACTGCAGCTGCTTGTAAGGGACCATTGAAACTAAACATGGCGTTTCCTTCAATTCGATTGAACCAAGATCTGTTAAAATGTCTTCTGATACACTTCCGACGAACATAAGACTGGTGTCTACAAACGAATCTGTCAGCTGTTTAACTTTGTTTTCAATGTCATCTAAGATTGGTTTGGATGAATGAATTGAAATAAATGCTTGTTTCTCAGAACCATGATCTCTTATAAATTCTAACGCCTCTTTTTGGGCTTTTGTAGATGTTAATAAGTCACCTATATCTTTCTCCTGATGTTTTATACCAGTTATATCTTTGTTTTTAAGTTCTGTTAGTTGTTTTAGAAGCGACTCTTCGAAATATTCTATACGTTTGATGAGAATTTCTTTTGTTTGGGCTACTTGTTTTCGAATTTGTGTGTCTTCTTGTTCTATTCGACTACTATTTTCATTTCGATTTATGTTCAATTTTCCTAATGCTTCTAAAATAAAGCGCAACTGTTCTTCGTAATCCAGGAATGACTGTGATTGCTTAGAACTCTTTGAAGCTATATCAATTGATGTGACGTTCTTGCATGCTCGGTGATCTTTTGACAAACATTCCTTACAACAAATAACATCATGATCAACACAAAAATAATCAAAAGTTAAAGGTTGATGCTTTGAACAATTATAGGATAGGTCAATTTTGTTTGGTATTTTACCTATCTCAACCAAATGGTGACTTCGAGACATTTTTTGAACTTTATGGGCTTCAGTACATTCGGAACACAGTGCTTCTTCACATTCGGTACACCATTTCAGTGCTATTGGATTCATACCACGTGCAGTGCACGGTTCGCAATATTTGGCTGCCATATTTCTACAAGAAAAAAATCCCATCTGAAATTTGTATTAATAACACTTACTATTTTCTAAACGATATTTTCTTTAAAAATAAAGAGTGTGTCATCTGCAGAAAAAGTGAAATTGCAATTTAAGATTGAGTTACATACTTTGTATGGAATTAACGAGCTCTTACGTAAATCTTTTGAATTCAAAATACTACTACGAAAAGCAAACAATGATGAAGTCAATGTGGTAATTCCCCTGTCGAAGTTATTGAGTTCAGATACATTCAACTGCCTGGAAAAACGCAGAGTGAGTAAACGTATTTTTCTTTGGCTAGAGGTATAGGGGGAGGGTTTAGATCTCACAATATATGTTTAATCCTGTCGCATTTTTGCGCCTGTACCAAGTCAGGAGCCTCTGGCCTTTTTAGTCTTGTATGTTTTTTAAATTTTAGTTCAATATATATCATTGAGTTTGGTTTGACGTCCATTTTTCACTAAACTTGTCCACATTTTTATTTCGGGGGCCAGTTTAGGGCCACTTCAGGGTGAGGGATTTTCTCGCTGCATTGAAAACCAATTGGTTGCCATCGGCTGTTATCTGCTCTTTGGTCGGGATATTGTCTCTTTGACATATTCCCCATTTCTATTCTGTATTTTATTTTTAAATGAATACAATAGTAGGTGGAATTTATTTTAAGTAATTACATCGTTTGCGTGGTATTCGTTGGTTTCTCTCTGTCTTGTTTTCGTTTGTTGTTTTTATCGTAAATGAGTCCATTGGTTTTCTCTTTGTCATTCCGTTTCCTTTTATGGCTAACTATACTATATGAGTGTTTCATTGTTTAGGCTGTACGATGACATATGGCTGCTTACATGTTCGTCCTTTGGTATATTTGTCTCAATCATATTACTTCGGCTTACTTTAACCCATGTTTTTTTTCTAAAAATGTGTTGTATCAAGTCAGGAATATGGCAGTTGTTATCAAATAGTCGGTTTCTATGTATGTTGGCGTTTGTTTTTGTTACACTGCATTGTTTCTTTTTTTTTTCGTTGTTTTTCTCTTATAGTTGATGTGTTTCCCTCCGTTTGCTTTGTAACCCGGATTTCTTTTCTCTCAATCGATTTATGACTTTTGAACAGGGTATACTACTGTTGCCTTTATCTTTATCGACAAAGATTACAACAAAACTACCGATATGGAGGAGGAACTAAGATGAACCGAAAAGAAGAGTTAGAAATCCAGATTACATAATGGTATTAAAAAGCTGGACCCAAGAAAAAAGAGAGGAGAAAAAGTGAGTGGGGTAGAAAAATGTTAAAAATGTATAACATGAAAGTGTGGGGACTTGGGATTACAAGATGGCGATTACTGAAAGGTATGTGACATTCAAAATTTCGAAATCATACACATTACAGTGAAAATTAGTCACAATTATTAGTTTTTACGTTTCATTTTTTTTGTATGTAACAGTTATGTTGGTGTCAAATTACAGCACTCAAATTGCTACGATAGGGTATTGCAGAATTTTTTGGTCATTTAGCATGCACACAGTTAAGACTTTACCTGAAGTTTATTTTTGCATTATATAAAACCAATAACACATGTATATTATGACTGGTTTATAGTATAAATATCGCTTTTGGTCAAATTCTCTAGTGAGTGTTCATGTTGTATTGGGTTTCTTATTGTATCATTTATTACAAAGGAAATTAGTGTATACTTATAGAGGAATTACAAAATCTCACTTAAAATGCAATTTATGACCAGTTTAGCAAGTTGTCTAGATGGGATATACATAAATTGCTCTTGTTGAAACATAAAATTATGTTTTTACCAAATCAATCTCCTTTTTCATCATGTAGAAAAAAGGGTGAAAAAAATTATCAATTATATTTCATGTTTGGACCACGTTATTTATATTCAAGGAAGATTTCTAAGATAACATAGATAAGAACATTGTTATTTCAGTAGATAGTAACAAATAAGAACTAGTAAAAATTTAGAAAGTCTCATCTGCCATTATTAGAATCCATATGGAGTTTTCTTTGTATAACGCATATGTTATTATTAGTCTAAATTGAGCTTGAATTCAGTGAAATAATGTTTTCACAAAAGCATTTTGTGTTTTCATATGCTAGAAACAGATCTTTGAGGAGATAAAGTAAGGCAGAGGTCAATATAACACATTTGATGATGTTGTAGGTATAAAGCCACTAGTTTAGGCCCGGTCGGAAAGAACATACAAAAAAATAGTACATATTTTAAACAAAATAGTTCTTAACCATATTTGTATCTTTGTCAAAAGGTGAAATATTTGGGTAGTTTTTGGTATAAAATGAAAGATTGGTGACTTTGGATCAATGTAGAACACTTGTTGAAAATTTCTTTTGATCGTGAACACTACACTGAATATCCAAATTGTTTTGTCTGCTACAAGTAAACGAGAAAGGAGAAGCGAAACGGAGAAAGATTTGCCTTGTCCGACTCTTCGTAGATTTTTTGAACAGAATAATAAGAACTATATCATTCATGGTCGTTCCAATGAAAAAAAAATATATTCCTTTCCCACTCTTGGCATAATGTGCATGTAATGTGATTTTCTGATGTCAACTTAAATAGAATTCGCTTATTTGTATTAATTTGAAAAGGTCATTTTCTAGCTTGCCTTCTCCAAAAGAAAAAAAGCTGGGTTACTTCCCATAACAAATCATTAGATTCTTTTTTTTTTTATTCAGTAATGAACATTATTGATATTCGTATCAAACATTTTAAATATAAAAATGAAGATGTGTCATGACTGCCAATGAGACAACTCTCCACAAGAGAAGAAATGACAAAGAAATTAACAACAATAGGTCACCGTACGGCCTTCAACAATGAGCAAAGCCCATACCGCATAGTCAGCTATAAAAGGCTCCAAAATGACAAATGTAAAAAAAATTCAAACGAGAAAACTAACGGCTTAATTTATGTACAAATAAAAAAATGAACAAAAAACAAATATGTAACATGTCAACAGACTACAATCACTGAATGACAGGCTCCTGACTTAGGACATGCGCATACATACAGAATCAGGCGGGGTTAAACATGTTAGCGGGATCCCAACTCTCCCCCTAACCTGCGACAGTGGTGTAACAGTACAACATAAGAACGAACTATAAAAATAATTAAAAATAATAAAGAGCATGTTATTCCTAACAACAACCATAATGGCCCTGTTTCTGGAATCGAAATCATAAGCTAAAAGGGTTCGCTAAGGAATTTGGTTTTGTCCCAGCTTATAAGGCTGCCAATAATACCATTATTGTTTGACATAATTGTTACATTGCGGTTCTGCAAAAGGAAATCACGAATTCGCCAAAATTCCAACTGACACCATTTTTGGAAAATGACATCTTTAACAAATATTAACTTTTAGCTTCCTCTGTATTAGCAGCACCAAACCAAGTACAATGAGAGTAACTATGTACTGGCTTCCGAGGCTGTACAACACAACTTACAAATAGATATTTATTTCGTCTTCAAGCCAATGTTCCATTACCAAACTTTCTATTTTTACTAACTAGTGCACTTGGTACAATAAAACACTTGATAATAAATTGTTCAAAATAAGGACTGTAAAAATAGTGGATTTCATTACAGTGAGTGTCAAATTTCGTTTGAAGTGCTTGATAAATTGAATGCTCATGTTGCTGATTTCGAATCTGTTTTAAGTTTTGAATTTTCTACCCTATATACCACTTTATTTCATATTCTCATTAATAAAAAAAATCCACACTCCGAATTAAATGGGCAAGTAAAAGTTAGAATGCGAATAGATATATATATATATATATATATATGTTCAAACTCTTTTATGTCATTTTTTGGTAACAACAAACAAAAGAACTATATGTCAGTTGGACCTGCTTTGATACGACAAATGCACATGACGTTTTATGAGATGTTCAGATTTTGAGCTATAGAGATTCCGTATATCGTAGAGTTATCAGCATTCCAATTGGAACTAACTGTGCAGCACTTATTATGGATATGTTTCTGTACTCAAAAGAAATATATCCTCCTGAACTGAAATAAAGCTAATACTAACAATGAACACTATCCTTTCCTGTATCTTGAAATCTATATCGCTAACGTGGAGCTTAATACCCAAATTTACAATAAAAGAGATGATTTGTCATTTTCTATTGTTAAATATACATTTTCAGATGGTGACGTTCCTTGTAACCATATCATGGTGTTCGTATAGCTCAACTTGTTCGATTCGCTCGTGTAAGTAATAACGTACTTGAGTTTAACGAAAGAAATCTCTGTATTACTAAAAAATTATAACACCAGGGTTTTCGATATCACGAACTAGTCAAAACATTTACTAAACTTTATCATCGGTGCAAGAACATCATTCGTAAATATAGGTCGACATACAGACCTCTTATACTTTAGGTTTTTCCCATAAACTCTTTAATGGTAAAATTCTATACAAATTAAAGCACAAACATGTTCTCATTCACATCAAAAGTTAACCAAACCTTTTAACAGACTAATATAGCGACTGAAAAGCTATATCGACAATAGAGGCCTCTACTTTATATTATATCAAATTGTGTGTGCATAGATGCTCATTTTTAAGACTTGGAAGGACATTGAAGTAGAAAAATTGTAAATAACTGTAACATAATTGTAAGAATAATACCTTAAACAAAATGGCGGTCAGGAACTTTATCACTGGGTACCTGTGTTAGCAAAGTAAGATCGATACGTGTACTTGTGGGATAATTTATTTCGCTGATTTGATATCGCCTAATAAAACTAGTAAATATAGAACTTAATGTATACATTTTTAAATCTCCATTTCGTTATCACCAAAATAATAAAAACATAAAATACGCAGTGTTGTGTGTATAAATGTAAATGTTTAACTAAATGACAGTATGTATCGCATTCTATAATGCATTTACAGTAAGAGACACGATGTCTAATAAGTATGCGTATATGTTTTGGAGTTTAGTGCGACGTTCATTTGA